CGCTCGCCAAGCCCGGCCAGGTCCTCTTGCGGACAGACACCCGCCGGCGGATGCGGGACGCCCCTTCCTCCATGGCGCGGCCTGACGCCTAGCCGCCAAAATAAAGGGCCCGGGAGCTTGACAGACCGGGCGGCGGGAGCAAAGGGAAAAAAATGCTCTTGTGTCTCCATGCGTCTCAAATTTATTCTCTAAACTCCCGAACCGGAAGCAGGGGCACTAGCACAGGTGCACGCCTTTTTCCGTCCCACCAGGTGCCGGGAAGAGCGGTGACCGAAAGGTGCTGAGCACGCGCATTACAATACCCGCTTATAGGGCCCGGGGTTTAGCTCAGTGGCGCCGCCGCCTGCCACACAAAACCCGGTTATTCAAACAAACCCGCGTCTCCGCGTTTGTCCACGGAACCTTTGAGTAGAGTACAAGGGCGTGCGGGGAAGCCTCCCGGAAGGGACTCAACGGAAGTATTTTTGAGAAAGGAAGGGAAAAGGAAGGACGTGAAACCATGGCTGCTGTGGTCGCTGTTTGCAGTGGTCTAGGGAGGAAGAAGTTGCCATACTGGGTAACGGCTGCTGTCTGCCTCACAGATTCCGGAATTTACACCGGTAAAGTGTCCGTGGTGGCCTTGCAGCTATTGCTTTGGCCCTAATGGTTGGTCACTTTTAGCAAAACGATGCCTAATTTAGCGAGACGGTGGCGGTTTCTAGGCGATTAAGTTTCTTCAAGGGTGGGTACCTGTAATGACCAGTGACTAGTATTCTGGAGCTGAAGCGGAAGTGATATGACCAGCTCTTTTCAAAGTTTGAACATGGAAGGAAAGAGGTGGATGGAATGATTTTTTAAAAAGATGCATGGATTTCCTAAACTTGGCAAGACAGGGACATTTCCAGAGTCAACTCAGAAGTAAATTGCATATTTCTTTTTTTTTTAAGATACAAAAAAACGACATTTTATTTATTTTTCTGAACAAGTACATGGCTCGGTTTCACTCAATGTCATCAGCAGCTGAATTCCTAAAACACGTTTTTGTTATGTATAGTCAGGTAGAACAAGTTACACAATGCGACAGCCCTGGCATTGAAGTGTTGCCTTTAAAACTTAGTCTCTTTTCAGCATCATTTTCATCCTCTCAACTTGCCACTCTTTTTTTTTTTTTTTTTCCCTCCTGGTACCAGGGATTGAACTAGGGTCCTGTGCTTGCGAGAGAGGTGGTGGCACAACTGAGCTAAATCCCCGGCCCTCAACTTGCCACTCTTGAAAACTCATTTTTTTTTTCTGTATTGCGCTATTACGTTAAAACTATGCAGTAAAAGTAAGACCCAAGGTATATCAAAAGCCCTTCATTTAGCTCAGTGGTTCTGCTGCCTGCCTGCCTCGCAATCATAAGGACCTGAGTTTGATTCCCGGTACAAAAAAAAAAAAAAAATGCCCTTCGGAGTATTCTCAAGGGTTCAATAAAATGTTTAAAAACAATCCATTATTAAAATGAATTTTTAAATATATAAACTACAATATTAATAACTTCACAAATGTTTCCACAACTTCTTGTCAGTAAAGGACTCAGCTAACAGAAATATACTCTAAGATGACTTTAAGGAATTTTCTTTTGTTTACTGGCAATATAATCCTTGCTGAGCCTTTTCTTCACCTCCCCGTGGCTGATCCCTGCTGTCTCCTGTAACACCATTCTATAATTCTGCACATATGTGCCAAATGGTCTCACATGGGGCTGGATGGGGGTTCCATCTTTCTGAGTTAATGGCAGCAAGACCAGAGGCCCCTTGCATAAAACACAGATAAAACATTCAGTGTTTAATGATCTGGTTTAGCAGCCAATCCTGGTTTTGCACTGATTACTTTCATAAAGAATCTTGTAGTTAATTGCATAGTTATGGCAACAGGTGACCAATGGCAGCTCTGGGTGTACCTTGTTTGATTTGCTGGCATAATACTTCCATGTATCATCATGAGAATATCCAATACCATCAGTCAGCCAGGAGGCAACATGGCGTTTTTCATGGATCAAGGTATTTCGGAGTCAGTCTGCAGAGTGAGAGGCTTTCGGAGAAATCTCAATCTTGGCACAGCGCTCCCTCTATGGGTACTGTCATCTCTCACTAGTGCAAAGCCAGCAGTTGTCAGCATCTTTTTATTCCAGGTGATGTCTGCTTTCTCTGGCAGCTTTTGATCAGAGACAGTGATGTTAAACAGTGTATAGATTTTCTAAATCCATTCGTCCTTATTTTTCTTGAATTCCTTTCCAGAATACTGTTTCGATTTTTTTTTTTTTGTACTGAGGATCGAGCTCAGGTCCTTGTGCTTGCAAGGCAGGTGGCAGAACCACTGAGCTAAATTCCTAGCCCCTGTTTGATTTTTCAGTGACAAGCATGAAGCATCCAGGTATTTGGCACGTAGCTCTCCATATCTTTTTTTTTCTCATTGAGTTTATTGGTACATTTTAGGTATACAGTACAGTTACATTCATCATTGGGATCTTGTACTTTTTTCCCCTTTTTTTGAGACAGTCTCACTGTGCAGTTAAGGCTGGCCATGAACTCACAGCGATTTTCCTGCCTCAGCCTAGCAGTGGGGATTACAGGCGTGCACCACCACACATGGCCACCATTATCATATTTCTAAGGGAAAATATAGGAACTTCCTGGAATCCAGTCTCACATTTTTCAACTTTTGCTGCCCGGGATTTCTTCTCTGAAAACGCATGCTTTTTTGGTCCACTATCAGCAGGTGTCACACCAGGTGTATTGTTGGTTTTACATTTCCTTTTCCTTGGTCATTCTGCCACAAATATGACTTCAGTAGTTGGCGACTTTGGATCTGTAATTTCTAGGTTAGCTTCAGGATCAAGCTAACCTGATGGTGGTTGGTCGACATATTCACCAAGATCCTGCTTCTTACGAACATTATCAGGTGCATTGTGCTGGGGGACAACACACTCATCTACTTCTTTTTTATCTGAATAAATGTGTCTGTGATCATGGGGAACCCCTTTCTTTTAGCACAGGAATTTCCAATTTGTTATTGTTGCCATCATCATCATCAATAATAATTACTCCTGGAGACTTTGGGACACTGGTGGTGGGCTGCTCCTCATCAGTGTCAGAAATCACTTCCAAAATCTGGTCTTCACTGTTTATTTCGTACATCTTAACTTTTTTTTTTCTCTCATGAACATGTTCATCATCAGACTCAGAATCATTCACCACAGGGCTGAACCTGTTTCTTCTGCACTGTCTTTCTGGCCACCATGGATTCATACTTTTCACTGCTGCTTGAACTCACATTCACAATGTAACTGCTGTTGTGGCTCTGGTGTGGCGCACTGCAACTCACTCACAGCGGAGGTTGGAAGAACGCGAGATCCTCAGCAACTGCAGAGGATGCCAGGCTCACAACCTTTTATGTGTAAATTACATATTACTAAGGTCCCTGGTCAGAACAAAATTGTGACACGGACCCTCATCCCTGTAATTCGTGCAGTTTTTTCGTCTCTGTGCTTCTCCATCAAAAACTGCTCATTTTCCCTTTGGTAAAATAGTGACTATCTGTTGCTTCTTCAGGGCCTATTTGCATTAAAATCTGCCTCTCTGGGTGTGGCGACGTGGGCCTGTAGTCCCAAACTAATAGTGAAAAAACACGAGTGCAAGGCCAGACCAGACAGTTGAGAGAGACCATCTCAAAATAAAAATAAAAAGGGTGAGGATGTAGCTCCGTGTGCTTACCAGCCTACCTGAGGTCTTGTTTCAATCATCTTTAACACAAAACCAAACCAAACCAGCTGTCTCTAACTATGGAATGAAAGGAAAGCAAATGTCAGGAGGAGAGCGGATGAGAAGTGTTTTGGGTGGGAAAATATATGCCCCTGGCAATGAGCTATTCTTACTCTGTCCCATATCTAGAGCTTGTTAACCAGTTATTGTGAGTGTAAAGAATATAAGGCTGTTACTTTCTATTATGTCTCTTGATTCATCTTGTCTCCATAAAAACAAAAATCTTTAGTAGCTACTTTAGCTAACATGCTCTGTTTAATTACAGTGCTATGGAGAAGAGGTTGTTCACAGGTAACCAGCAACGAGAATCTGGTAAGACTTTTTTTTTTTTTTTTTTTTTGTAAAAGGCATTTGCAGGGGCTAGAGAAGATTTAGCTCAATAGTTCTGCCGCTTGCCTCACAATTGCAAGGTCCCGAGTTTGATCCCTGGTACCAAAACCAATAAATAAATAATAAAAGGCATTTGCAAATATGACCAAAATCTTGTATTTCAGTTATGTGCTCTTCAACTATAAGAAAGAACAAAATCATTACTCTGTGGAAATTATCACTAACTGATTAGAATAACTTAAATTTTAAGTAAATGAATTCCTAGACTCCTAACAAGAAACATGACTTCTGTAATACCATATTTTTCTTCCTAGATACTTGTGATTTGGGAGTTTCAAAAGGTAGTTTGAGTGCAGAGAATAATTGTAGATAATTGAACAAAGGCATTGTCCTATGTTTGTCTCAGTCATCACTGTTGGTAGGGATGTCTTAATAAATGTGAAGTTAGGGCCGAGGATTTGGCTCAGTGGTTTTGCCACCTGCCTCGCAAGCATAAGGGCCCGAGTTTGATCCCCAGTACCAAAAAAAAAAAATGAGAAGTTAAAATTAGTTTTACACCAGGATATTTAACCTAGAGGTGTATTTTGATGGGTTTAAAGTACTGGACTGGACTTGGGCAGCATAGTTTTTCTCATTACATGCAAAATTAATTTGACACTAATCATACCATACAAAGGACTTAGCTTAGTGTCAAGTAGGAATATAGTTGGTCAATATGTGTTAGCTGAATGTAAATTAGATTAAGAAAATTTGAGGAATTGAAAAAACATGAAAACTTGTCTAGTCCTATATTTTCATCTTGGCCATCTAATTCACATACCAGACTTTAGAGCGAATAAAGGAGGGTGTCTTAATTATCTTCACTGCTGAGAGAAAAATACCCAACACCAGGTTAAAGAGGAAAGGTTTATTTCAATTTACTGTTTGTAGAGGTTGTGGCCCATAGTGGACTGGCTCCAAGGAAAGGCAGCATGGCAGAGGGGCATCTCAGAGGAAAAAAGTCCTTGGCATGGCAAGCAAGAAGCATCAAGCAGCAGCCCTCTTTCCTTTTTAGTCCACCCAGGCTACAAGCCTAATGGTCAGTGCCCCCCATACCCAGGGTAGGCTTTCCCATTAATTAGCCACTAGGTTTTCCTACACTGAGAACTGTGCTAAACCAATCGGTGGACTAATCACACCCAAAACCCAGTATCACATGCCCATGATCTAGCCTCTCCCAAAAGTACCAACTATGGAGACTGGGGGGTTCATCTAGATATATGTGGTAACTTGGGTTGCTTTTTTTTCAAATCATAAATCCCACTAAGACTTTTTTTGTCATTGTTTTGTTTTGTTTGTTTGAGACAAGGTCTCACTATGCAGTTCTATATGTAGCCAAGGCCCACCTCGAACTCATGGGGATCCTCTTTCCTCAGCCTTCTGAGTTCTGGGATTATAGTGTGCCACCACACTGACAATTCTACTGAGACTTTTTTTTATTCCTTTTTTTTTTTTTTTTGTACTGGGGATTGAACTCAGGACTTTGTGCTTGAGAGGCAGACATAGTGCCACTGAGCTAAATCCCTGGACCTTGTCCACTGAGACTTTTAATGAAAACTATGGGTCCTTTCCAGAGAAAAAGACATTATCATTGATATTTTGCATACAATTACAGAGGATGGTGGACTTTAAAAACATTTCAAAATTGGGAACTTCTAGGGCTAGGGGAGGAGCGGCTCAGTGGTAGGGTGCTTGTCTAATGTGCTAGAGGCCCTGGGTTCAATTCCCAGTACCACAGAACAAACAAGAAACAGTCTCTTACTGGAGACACCCATTGTGACTGGAATAGGGAAGCAATGAGACAGAAGTAAGCAGTAGGGGGAGCTGAAAAAGCCAAAAAGGCTGATACCACCTTGTATAGCAGGTGGCTGTAGCTACACAAACCTGTATTCCCTGTACTCTGAGAGGCTGAGGCAGGAAGATCAAAAGTTTGAGCCCACGCTGGGCAACTTAGTGAGACTCTGTCCCATAATAAAAATTTTTTTAAAAGGCTGGGGATGTACATCAGTGTAAAGGCCCTAGGTCCAATCTCCAGTACTAAAAAAATAAAAAAATAAATAAAAAATCCAAGTTTAAAGAGTAGTCTGAGGGTACCAGGTATGATGGTGCATACCTATAATCCCAGCACTTGGGAGGCTGAAACAAGAGGATCGCTGTGAGTTTGAGGCCAGCCAGGGCTACATAGTAAATTCAGATGAGCTTGTCCTACATAGTGAGACCTTGTCTCAAAAAGACAAAAAATAGGCTGGCCCTGGGGCTGCATCCCAGCGCATCTTGGCAGCCAGGTCGGAGCCCAGAGTTCCTGTATGCAGGTGTCATCAGCTGAGCTCCAGGGCACAGCCCAGCTCAGCCTCATGGTGGGCTTCGGGGTCAACTGGTGCGGCGGAGGTCACCTGCCCTCCTTTATGCTGGTAGTGCTCCTCGTGGTGATCGTCATCCTCACCTTTAACTACTGGCGCATCTCTTCCCGCCACATCCAGCTCCAGGAGGAGGTGGCTGAGCTGCAAACCCAGGTCCAGTGCACCAAGGTAGCCTGCCGGTGTCTGGAGAAGCGCATCTCCTGTTCCTGGTGGACACGCACAAGAAACAGATTGACCAGAAGGAGGCCAACTATGACTGCCTCAGCCAGCGGAAGGCCAGAGAGGGCCTGGGAAAGAGATGCAAGGATAACAAGGTTAAACTACAGAACGACACATATTAGATGGCAGGCATACATCATTTAAAGAGCAACTTGCTGAGCTCCTCCAGGAGTTTCTTCGACAAGAAGAGTAGCTTCAGGACTATAGAAAGAACAACTCTTACCTTGAGAAGAGGTTAGAATATGAAACTTTTCAATGTGGACAGCAGATCAAAGAATTAGCACAGCATGAAGAAAATATTAAAAAGTTAGTAGATCAGTTTTTGCAAGAACAAGTTAGAGTCCCCCAAGTTTCAATCAAACAATGGAAAAGAATTAGATATAAACGATCATGTTAGTACCTAAAAATATTCCAAAGGGAGCTAAGAATGCTGCAGATAAGAATGAAGAACCCTCAAGTAATTATATTCCACGTGGAAAAGAGCAAATCAAATGAGACGGTGATGCAGGGTGCCTGGAGTAGAAGAGAATGACCTAGCTAATGGTGATGGTCTTCCCACCTCTAAGGAAGCCCCGTTTTAGTTTTTCAGTGTGAAAATCATCAGACAGTCTCCCATCTTCCAACTGGACAACCTGTCTCCCCAAATACGGGTCCAGATTCACGTGTAAACCACAATGGCAACTTGGGTACTTCAAAACGGTACCCTTCCAATCCTCTTCAGCATTTAAATCCTGGCTCAAACTTGGAGAGTGAACCCAGAATTGAAGTGGATGTACTATAGCAAGCCACCAAGGAGAGTCAGCAGTTTCCACAAACTGAAGAAGATGATGAAGAACGAGGGCTTCACATTTATCCTGCAGACTATGGAAAGCAGCATTTCAATGATGTCCTTTACATCCTAAAGGAAAATTTCACAAAACCTAAAGTACTGTAAAATGAAATCATTTCTACTTTGTCATTTTTTACTTTTGTTTGTTTGTTTTTTTGGTACCTGGAATCGAACTCAATCCCTTGAGCTTTCAAGGCAGGCAGCAGAACCATTGAGCCAAATCTCCGGTCCTATCATTTTTCACTTTTGTTGTATGAGTTATACACTTGTATGAGCTATAAAGATCCCTTTTATGAGTTATAAAGATACATTGAGGTAGATTGAAGGAAAACCTTTAAGGAATGTACCCATGTACATATGTGAACTTTTTCATACTATATTATCAAAGACTTTTTTGGTTATACAGTTGAGCCAAAAAATGGTTAATCTTGGCTAGGCATGGTGGCGCACTCCTGTAATCCCAGCACTCAGGAGGCTGAGGCAGGAGGATCGCTGTGAGTTTGAGACCAGCCTGGGCTACATAGTGAGTTCTAGGTCAGTCTCAACTACAGAGTGAGACCCTGTCTCAAAAAAAAAAAAAAAGAAAATAAAAAACGGTTAATCTTTGCATTTAAAGCAAACTAATGTATATTTCACATTTTATTAAGCTTAATTTTTTCCACAAATAGCAAGAGAAAATAGTTGTACAGATAATATGTTACACATATATAACCACAGTGAGAGCAGTTACTCAGCTGAAAAGGTTTTATACACTAAGGTATTCTTTTTTAGTTTTGTTTTGTCGGGGGGGGGGTTGAAGGGTGGTAGGGGGATCAAACTCAGAACCTTGGGCTCCTAAGGCTGGTGGCAGAACCATGAGCTAAGTCCTCGCGCCTATACTAGTGTGTTCTTGAGCCTGACAGGTGTTCTGTTCTGGCTGCCCTTCATTTCATGTTCTTCCAGGAGTTATACCTAGAATAGTGGCATAAATGAGGAGAAACAGTGCCAAACATTTGCAACCCGTATACAGAATTACCGTCCTACTCCTGTGTTACGTAAGTGCTGATGTGTCTGTACAGAGTAGCTGTCAGGTGACTCATGAAAGTTGAGATAACCTTCAAAGGTATAAAAATATCAGTTATTTGTACTTAGTGTGGAATTGTTGAATGCATTTCATTTTTTCCCCCATAATACCAGTACTGTTTATAGTCAACACTGACAAAAGTTTTATTTTCACGGTTTGCATTGGTGAAGATAATTATGATTAAAATGACAGGTCCTTAAAGGGACTAAATCTACTTTGAAATGTATCAGCAATTAGGATTTCAAAGCCTTCCTGGTAGTTTTAGTGTTTTATTTTACTATGTGTTTTTCAGAAATACTACGCCAGAAAAATAGAAAAAAAAATACCAGGTATCAAACTCAGGACCTTACGCTTTCGAGGCAGGTGATGGCACCATTGAGCTAAATCCCTGGCCTTCTATCCTTATATTTCTTGCATAGTAGGGGCTGGGGATTTAGCACCCACAAGATCCCAAGTTCAATCCCCAGTACCCTCCCCCCCAAAAAAGTATAGCTGTTCATAAAAATAGTCTACCCCTTGCCTCACAAGCACAAGGTCCTAAGTTCAATCCCCAGTACCAAAAAAATAAATAAATGAAATAAAAATAGCTTAAAGTTTGTAATAAAAAGAAATCTTTGTGGGGCTGGGGATTTAGCTTACCAGTTTTGCCCAGCCTGCCTCGCAAGCACAAGGACATGAGTACCAAAAAAACAAAAAAGAATCTTTGTAATTACTGTGTTAGTTAAGATACCATCAACCTCGTATCTGCTAAACTTAGCAAAATCATTTTAAATATTTTGTCTTTTAACACTATTCAATAGAATGTGTAAGCTAGCTAACCCTTTTTTTCTGATAAAAGCACTTTTACATCTTATCCCATGCCCCAAAAACAAAAGGCATTGATCATGAAGGGAAATTAAAGGTTGTTAATTCTGTTTTGCAGAAGGACTACTGTTAATTTCCTATATGAACATATCTCTGAGTGATAGAGCACTTGGCTACTTGGTCCCCAGCACCACAAAACAGGCAATCAAACATGAACTCCCCCTCCATCCCATGCCCAGGTTCCAGTCATAATTGAAACTTGTAGAAGTTCACTTGTTGAGGTGCAAAATTTCTTTGACTTGGGTTTGAAGTTAGTGACCAGAAAAAGATGCAGTGATTGACTATGATTTTTCTACCATATCCATTAATTTATGCCTTCATTATCAATAGGGTAGGCCTACAGTGAATAGATATTAACAGTTCACAGAAGTTTTAAAGGAAGTTAAAGGGGAGTGATATACATCCTTTGGGAATTAGCATGGGGAGATAAATCTAAATTATTTCTTTTTCTTAAAATTTAATTTATTGGTACATTTTAGGTAGACAGTATAGCTGCATTCATTATTGGGATCTTGTACCTTTACATGATAGGTCTTGGTTCTCATTTTTTCCCCTTTTCCCCACCCTCCCTTCACCCTCTCCTCCCTTCCTCCCCTTCTAACACTTTAATTCCATTTTTACATTTTTAAATTTAAAAAAATAATAAAATGGGGATGAATACAATACAGTATTAAGTGATTATACTAACCTAGAAATGCCATATGCTTTTTATTGCACCTTAAGTTTTTCTTGATTTAGTATTAAATGAATGAACTTTTATTTTTTTGGTAAGACAGGGCAAGACAATATAGTTCAGACTGGCCTTGAACATATTGTGTAGCTGAGGCTGGCCTTGAACTCATGGCTATTCTGCCTCAGCCTCCTGAGTGCCAGGATTAACAGTCATGTGCCACCATGCCCAGCTATGTTAACTTTATTTTTAGTTAAGATTTTTTTTTTTTTTTTTTTTTTTGATACCAGGGATCAAACTTGGGTTGTTGCACTTGCAAGGCAGGCATTGGAACCACTGAGCTAAATCCCTGGCCCTATGTTAACTTTAAATGAATTAAAAAATTTGTAGTTATCTACAGTCTAAGATGAGTATGGCATTTGAACAGAAAAGCTTGTATTGACTTTTTTTCCCATGAAATCTTCTTCAGAGATATATACTTTCTTGTTAACCAAACTGACATAAAATAAAGTGCTTATATAAAATATGTACACAGTAAGGAAGGTACTATGTGCTTTGGGGTGAATTTTAATGGAATAACCCTATGATTTAATTTTTTTTAATTGACCTATAATCAGACTTTTTTTCTTTATCCTAGCCTGTTAAAATGGAAAATCCTTATAAGGAACCTCTTAAGAAGTGTATCTTGTGTGGAAAACGTGTGGATTATAAGAATGTGCAGGTGAGAACTGGTTCTGTTCCCCTCTGGTACTTGGTTTTAGGATTTTGCTCCTTTGCTAGTCGTGCTTAGAGAGAATACTGTAGCTGGGCATGATGGCACAGGTCTGTAACCCCAGCACTGAGGAGGCTGAGGCAGTAGGGTCATGAGTTTGAGGCCAGCCTGGGCGACACTGCTTATAGCAAGCTTCAGGTATAGCTAAGATTTTGCATCTTTCTGTTTTTGAATCTGGTTATATAATTCTATATGTAAGGTGTCCTTATTCTGTTAAAAGCTCTTGGCTACCTCAGCTCAGTATTTCTCCCTTTTGTTCACCCGAAGGTCTTCGCAGTGATTCTCAGGTGATAAGCATGAGCATTTTGGAAATAGCTCCTCCAGGGAAACGGACCTTGTATCTTACCATCCCTGTTATTGCTTTAAATATCCTCTCATCTGGCTGTCAGCAAATTACAGTGGCAAATTTAGGTAAAGTGGCTGGTGCTGGTATGAACTCTACTGAGAGGAGTATTCAGTGATAGCTGCCGTTGAGGGAGAAAAACATAGAAGTTATAAAAAATGCAACTTACTAGGAAGACTCTGCAAAGTGCCAAGAACAGTGCCTGGCACCTAGAAAGTGCAAAGCATTTAATTAATGAAACAAATTTTAGTAAATGTCCCAGTACTTGTATGAGTATGTCTTGAAGACTCCCATATACCCTGCTAACTTGTCTCACAATTATGTGATAGCCCATCATGGTAGGTGAGATATTTTAGTGCCTTGTTACAAGCAGCAGTATTTTAGAAAATATCTGTGGAAAAGTCAAAAAAGCAGCTTTAGTACTGATTATGCTGATTAATCTGTTGTAGACTTTTGATACTTTGGGAAGATGTCAACTTAAAAAGACTTGTTAAGGATGTCTTCTTTGTCTGAAACTGATTTAAATGTTTACATGAAGGTTGAGTATAAGGTTTTTTAAAAAAATTTATATATTCAGGACAATAACATGTATTAATAAATTTTTTTTCCTCCAAATCTCAAAAACAGCTTTTGTCCCAGTTTATTTCTCCATATACTGGCTGCATTCATGGGAGACATATAACAGGTATTTTTAAAATAATAGCTATTTAAATGTAGGTAAGAGGGCCAGGGATTTAGTTCAGTGGTTCTGCTGCCTGCCTCGCAAGCACAAGGACCTGAGTTCGATCCCTGGTATGCATAAATAAATAAATAAATATGTAGATAAGAGTCACGTTAATTTCTGTCATTTAAGGAAAATGGCACATGTTCAAATTGTGCTATAAATCACTATTAGACGTTGTGCATCAGGCACTATGAAGACTAGAGCTAAGTATTCAGAGAAACCTTGTTAGACCTAAAGGATTATAATTTTGTATGTTTCCTTCTACTTAGAGTTAAGTACAGGCTGACAACATATGGAAAACTTGGACTTAAGAAGATTGTGTTCTTGATGTTGAGTACACCGTACTTATTCCTGGATGTCTACAACTTGATGTTGCCAAACTGTGGCCTATAGGTAGTCCATATCCAGCCTGGCACTTGTCTTTGTAGATTTATTTGCATAGTGCCACATGGTTTTGAGGTGAAATAGCAGATTTGAGTAGTTCTGCTGGAGCCTGTATTGCCTATAAAAAACAAAATATTTATAACTCCTGTTATTTACAGAAAAGAATTTATCAACCTTTGACTTAGAAAATTGTTATAAATTTTAAATGTTGGCATTTTTTATGAAGAAAGCATTTTTACAACTTTACAGGTCTTTGTGGGAAGAAACAAAAAGAAATTTCAAAAGCAATTAAGAGAGCTCAAATCATGGGTAAGCATACTTTGAATCACTGAATTGAACTCGTTGATATTTGCTTATCTGTTGTGAAAACCTTTAATTATCTCTTTACAGGGTTTATGCCAGTTACATACAAGGATCCTGCATATCTCAAAGACCCTAAAGTTTGTAACATCAAATATCGGGAATAAATTTTATAAAGTTATTAGCAATAAGCTCACTTTATAGTAAGTATTTGTATGCCATTATTGACTCATACTAACGTTTGGGTAGAAAAGTGCTTCAAGACTGAAGCTTTCCCCATACCAGTGAATGCTCACTAAAAAGATTGTGTATTTGAAATGCTAGTACTCATTACATTTTATATGCCTAGAATAAAAGTGGTCCTGTATGATTGTCCTACATCTTGTCCACATAGTTCGCTCCTGTAATGTTCCCCCATAGTGAAATAGGAAATATGGGAGGAGCTGGGTGTGGTGGCGCATGCCTTTAATCCCAGCACTCCAGAGGCTGAGGCAGGAGGATGCTGTGAATTTGAGACCAGCCTGGGCTACATAGTGAGTTCCAGGTCAGTCTCAACTACATAGTGAGACCCTGCCTCAAAAAAAACAAAAAAACAAAACAAAACAAAAAGGAAATATGGGAGGGATGACATGCATAGGAATTCTACATTAGGCCCAGATTCTATGTTAAACATGGGATGATTTTAGAGAAATGGGCAGGAAAATGCAATGTTTATGCTTTAATCCCTTGTGACTGATTGTAGAGTTGGGGCTGTTAAACTAACATATGTATATCTGGTTAAGCAGAGATGCACAGTGGGATGGAAAATTGGGCTGTCACAGGAGGATAAAACATGACAAGTTACTCCCTTTCAGAATGTTTTGAGTTTTTATTATTCCATGTTTGCAATACATAATGATCACATTCATGGTGGGGAGTTGGTACATGTACATACACATTTTTCCTCCCTCTGCTATCAAGGATTGAACTCCAGACCTTATGCTTGCCAGGCAAGTGCGGCCCTGGTGAGCTAAGTCCCTGGCCCCATAGACCTCTTAATTCTTTTTTCATCCCCTTTCCTCCCCTTTTCTAAAAGTTCTGCCAGTTTTCTATTTTGTTTTTCTTATATTGCTCTTTAACTTACTTGTACTTGGGGTTTCTCATACAAGACAAACCATGTAATATTTTTGTGTGTCTGATTTATTTTAACATGGTCTGAAGGTACATGTACTTTCCTACAACTGACTCGTTTTAACTCCGTTATGTATAAATACCGACCACATTGTCTTTATCCATTCATCTGTTGATGGACATAGAGTCCACTTCCAAGATTTAGCTATTGAGAGTTGTGAGGCTATAAACATGGGTGTGTATGTGTTGCTGTAATATGATGTCTTTACTCTTTCGGGCAGATACTAGGAGAAAATAGCTGTGTCAAATAGCTTTCTTCTTTGTGTGTGTGTGTGTATGTTTGGTTTTCTGAGACAGGGTCTCACTATGTAGTTGAGACTGACCTGGAAGTCACTATGTAGCCCAGGCTGGTCTTGAACTCACAGTGATCCTCCTGCCTCAGCCTCCCGAGTGCTGGGATTGCAGGCATGCGCCATCACAACCCGGCTGTGTGTGTGTGTTTTGAGACAAGGTCTCCCTATGTAGTTCAGGCTGGCCTTGAACTCACTATGTAGCCCAGGCTGGCCATGAACTTGCTGAAATTCTCCTGCCCCAGGCTTCCAAGTGCTAGGATTTTAGGTGTGTGCCACCATGCCTGGCTCTTGTTTTAGGTTTTTGCAGAATCTCCATACTGATTTCCATAGTGGTTGTAGATATGCTTCATTCTGTTTACCAGTATCTTGTGGGGGACTTTTGCTTCTATATTCATTAAAGAGAGTGATATATAGTTCTGTTTTTTCATTTGGTCTTTCTTGGGTTTTGGAATCAGAGTATTGCTAGCTTCCAGGAATGGCTTTGAGAGTATTCCTTCCCTTTCAATTTCATTAGAGTTTGAAGAGTATTGGTTTAAATCTTCCCTGAAGGACTTGAGTTCAGCACAGTGAATCTTATGAGGTCCTGAGCTTTTCTTAGTTGATAGGTTTTTTTATTACTACTTGAATTTCATTTCCTGTTATTGGGTTATTTTGGGTTTTTACATTGTCTTGGTTCCATTTTGTTAATTCTTCTTTTTTTGGTACCAGGGATCAAACTCAGGACCTTGTACTTGTGAGGCAGGCAGTGGCACCACTGAGATAATTCCCTGGGTCCTCCATTTTGTTAATTCTTTTTTGGCTTTTTTTTTGGTTATTGTTTTGAGACAGGCTTTCACTATGTAGTTGAGACTGACCTGGAACTCACTATGTAGCCCAGGCTGGTCTCGAACTCATGGTGATCCTCCTGCCTCAGCCTCCATGCCTGGCCTTGTTTTTGTTTTGATACAAGGTTTCGCTGTGCAGTTCAGGCTAGCCTTGTACTCACTGTGTAGTCCAGGCTGTCCTCAAACTTTCAGCGATCCTTCTGTCTCAGCCTCAGAGTGCTGAGATTACAGACATACACCATTATGCCTGTTTTGTTCCTTTCTTCTAGGTTCTTTAATTTGCTGGAGTAACAAGTTTTCAAAATGGTTATTAATCTTCTGGATTTTGAGTGGTGTCCATTATGATTTCACATTTTTTTTTTTTTTTTTTTTTTTTTTTTTTTTTTTTTGGTACCAGGGACCCAACTTGGGATCTTGCACTTGGGAGGCAGGCAGCAGAACCACTGAATTACATCCCCAGCTTTGTCTAATTTATTCTTTCATTGAACCAGCTCTTAAGTTCATTGATTCTTTGTATTTTTAGTCTCAATTTCATTTATTTCTTCTCTCATTTTTATTATTTTCTTCTTTGTACTAGCCTTAGCTTTGGATTTTTCTTGATTTTTCAGTTGATTTCTAGTTACAATGCACTCTGAGCTGGTGATATGCAAATAATTTTCATTCTTTTACCTTTACAGTAAAATGTTGGTTTGCAAGAATAATTCATTCTGCACATAATCCAAAGCATTTGTATATCAAACAGCATGAGAGAACCAGTTGTGATCATGTGATATTTGGTATGACATACTATACATATTGCAAGACATCCCTCGTTTATAAAGTTAAAATTTCTTAGAAATATTTATTTACCTTGCAGAACACTTGCAGACCAAGTTACAATCCAAGGTTTGACTATATTTCAGTGTGCTTCATGGTCTCCTTTGGGGTCAGTTTTGGAGAAAGTTCTGTGTGCTGCTGAGAAGAACTATTTTGTTGTTGGGTGGGGTACTGTGTAGATATTCATGACGTCTTTATTTGTTCAAGGGTTTGGTTGAACTCCGTTTCTCAATAGATTTGTCTAGTTGATCTGTTTGTGGGGTATTGAGTTTTCCTACTATAATTGTACTGATATTTATCTGGTCTTTCATGTCCAGTAGTGTGTTTTATGAAGTTGGGCATGCTGAATTCTGCTGTTTTTTCCACTGGCATGGTCTTCAGTGGTGTCTACCCTATGGATGTAGTCAGTTCAGCAACTCCTACTCCCACGTCCCTTTGTATACCCCATGTCCCAGCTTTCTCTGCCTAGCTTTAGGAGCTGCCCCTTCAGAGGCCCCACTGCCTGTACACCCAGGTGTGGCCTTGTTCATGTGACTAAATGGAGAAAGTGAACAGACTGCTGAGTTCTGTGCTGGATGTAGGCAGCGAGGCCAGGGTGCAATCCTATCACTGGATGTAATGCCAGTGCTTTCATACCCAGGCTCCCTGAAAGCCACATAGGCAATGTCTGGCTCTCACCTGGAGGGTCTCCCCACCCCGTGTCTTCCTGGCCTAAGTGTAGACTTCTCAGGCATCTGTGTCTAGCCATACCTTCTCCTGTGCTGTCTCTTATGGCCAGCTCCCATCCGGTCACTGGTAGGGTGACACCAGAAACCCGAAAGTACAGAAACCCGAAAGCACAGTAGGCAGATCTGCAGCTGTTCTGTGCTTCAGTCTTGAGCAGTTCACCCCTTCCTACAATGGCTCCTGATGCATGAAACCTTCTCAAATGAAGCACTGAATTCTTCTCTGACTTCTCTAGTCTTCCTGTCAGCTTCCTTCCAATTCTGGAGATCTTTTTTCTATTCACCAAGTTGTTATTTACCACATGTCTTGATACCAGGTCATGGAGTGGCTGTACTTTGCTGCTGATCTTTATTCCACTAATTTGTTCTCCCTGTGGATGAGTTATCCTTAAGCTGGTAGGATTTATATTTATATATAAGGATGATGCATACATACTCTGCGAGCAATCACTTTCTCATGCCAGTGATACCAGTAGGATTCAGACTGAAAACCCAGTTCTCCTGCTGTACATAGCACTAGTTTGTCACCAGCGAAACACAACCACAGCAGTTTGCACAGACCATCCCAGATACTGAGTTCACAAAAACATCCCATCATTAATGCATGAAATCACAGAAAATTAAAAGTTTGCTATTAAACATAATCAAGTAATTTCTCTAGAAACTAACAGAGCGAAGTTCATTCAGGGTGTGTATTCAGCATCCTGACCAGGAAGTAAAACATGGCAAGGGCTTCCCGGGACATGGAAACTGGTGTATAGAGAAGACATCTGCACGTGACAGCAAGAGCACCGTCCCTCTGTGCTTCTCTTCTGAGATAAGGTCTCGCTGTGTTGCTGGGGCTGGCCTCCAGCTCCTGGGCTCGCATGACCTTCTTCCTGCTGCCGAGTAGCTAGGGTGAGGGCGCTCAGCACTGTGCCCATCTGGTAAGTGCTCACAGGTTAGGGTGATGCCCACCCTAGAAATCATTCTAATGGTCGTGACTCTCAGACCTGCTGCTTCTCTCGTGTCAACTATAGGCTTTTTCTCAGACCTGTGCCAGTTGTGTTATTGATGAATTATGAGCAAATAGAAGTTACTGCTGTGCTGTGCCAACTACATAAATGCTTTGGAGAGACTTGATAAAAACAGCTATAGAATATAGTTGAAAAGCTGGCTGTAGATAGGTAAATACAGGAGGGAAAAGTGGTGTGAAACGGCAAACCTAGTTGTATTTTGTGCTTGGGTGGCTTTACAAGTTTCTGAAAATTGTTTGCTTTTTTTGTGGTACCAAGGATGGAACTCAGGACCTTGTGCTTGCGAGGCAGGTGCGGTGCCACTGAGCTAAATCCCTGGCCCTGTAATTTGTTCACTTTAAAGAAATCAAAACTGAATGTTGTCATGGTTAAGTAATGAGAGTGATTTATATAGGAACTCTAGTCAGTGGACTTTACAGAAATGTTCTTGGCCTAAACCAAATACTTGGTAAATAAACGTACTTCTTTTTTTTTTTTTAATCAGGGTTTTACTGTGTAGTTTGGGCTGGCCTTAATTCTTCATGTAGCCCAGATGTGGCAATCCTCTGGCCTCAGCTCCGTAAGTGCTGTGGTTACACATGTGTACCACTGTGCCCAGGCAGCTTAAATAAAAGGCTAGTGAGTTCAACGCTAGCCTGCACTGTATAGCAAGACGCTGTTTCAAAAAGCCAAAATAGTAACATAAAGGCTTGAGACAGGCTTTCCTGTGTGTGTCTGTATACATATACATGTGTGTATGCACATTTACACAGACGTAATTTTTGAATCCAACTTCAGTTCTTAACTGCCTATCCCAAATATATTGGATTGCCAGATTTTTACTATATCCAAAATTTTGGACACTTAATTTTTTTGGGGGGGGTTTGAGACAGTGTCTCACTATGTAGTTGAGACTGACCTGGAACTCACTGTGTAGCCCAGGCTGGTCTCAAATTCACAGCGATCCTCCTGCCTCAGCCTCCCTAGTGTTGGGGTTGCAGGTGTGTGCCACCACACCTAGCTTGAACACTCAAGTTTTGTATAGAGGGAGAGATTATGTTAAGAATGTCCCAAATTTTGCACGGTATCCAGTTGTTTTTTTGAGACAAGGTCTCACTATGTATTTGAGACTGACCTGGAACTCACTATGTAGCCCCGGTTGGGTCTCAAACTCACAGCGATTCTCCTGCCTAAGTCTCCCTAGTGCTGGGATTACAGGCATGCGCCACCATGCCTGGCCTGATGTCCAGTATTTTAACTAGCAAGTCTAGCCATAATATACTTTAAGACCAGGTCTTAGAGTCACTGCATTGCCCAGGGTGGCATTAAACACCTGAGTTCAAGTGGTCCTTGCTGCCTTAGCCTTCTCAGTGGCTGAGACAGTAACTTTGTGTCACCAAGCCCAGTTTAATAACCTTTTCATCATCACTAATAAGGAGTAGGAATTGTAATGACTTAGGCAAAATAAATTTTCATAAAAACTTTATATTCCTTCCATGTTGTGAATTGCTAAGTACATTGAACATTTTTTAAAAATGTCTTTCCCTTGATAATTTAGAAAGAAAAGTGGAATGTTTTGATTTTCAAATAGAAGCGTCTTGGGCTGGGAGTGCAGCTCAGTGGTAGTGCATTCTCCTAAAGTGAAGGAAGCCTGGGTTTAATACCTAGCACTGCAAAAATAAAAATTTTTAAAAGCATCAGTATTTTAAAAGTATTTTATAAAGTAAGTGCTGTAGAACTAATTTATGTACTATTGTAAACAGCGAAACAATAAAAACAAAATACTCCCTCCAGACATTACTGTGAACAGCTGAATACAGTCAAAACGAGTGAACTTCTCTGCATCAAGGCCAGCAGCTACACACAGTAAAAACAATAAAAACATTCGGCAAAATGAAAACTTTTCATTTTGAGTTGAAAGGATTAAAATGTGGGAGATGCTGGATATTCACCAGAGGCCAGCAGTCTTTCCAGCTCCTCGTCTATTTCTGGGCTGCTTGTTGCAGAGGACTTTTCTTGGTAACTGCTCTCGGTACCTGTCTCAGGTAGTTTGTTTTCTGGCTCTGACAGCCGCATCATCTTCCCCTGCCATCCGTCATCCGGGCCTACGGCTTTGCGCTTAGTCACCTCTGGTGTCCTAGCTGGACTGGCCTCTGGGGAGTGGGCATACTCTACCATCAGGGTCAGCTTGTCTGCCATCTCAAGACCGTGCGTGGCATTACATCTGCTTTTAGAAATCTGTCTGGTTTTCAAAGAGATAACACAAGACTGGAGGAATTCACAATCTGGAAAAAAGGTCCGTAAAGCTTGACAAAGAAAAATGTTCTCCTGTGGGTCTTTTTGGACATTCTCTCCTAAAGAAAGTAAAGTCATACTTCAGTATCTTTGTTCCAGAAGCTTTTTTTTGAGACAGGGTCTCACTATGTAGTTGAGGCTGACCTGGAGCTCACTGTGTAGTCCAGGTTGGTCTCGAACTCACGGTGATCCTCCTGCCTCAGCCTCCCAAGTGCTGGGATTATAGGCCTGTGCCACCACGCCTGGCCTTCCTTTTATAGTTAGTCAATAAGTTAAAAGGATTTCAACAATTAAATTATCCAAAGTGAAGTGTTCAAATGGGAAGAGGAACAAGGGAGGAGGGAGGGAGAAAGGAAGGGACAAGAAAAAAAAATGAAAATAGAAGGAAAAATTTGACCCAGCCATCCCCCTGCTGGGTATCTTTCCAAAATAATTAAAAGAATCATACATAGTGATATATGCACACCTATGTTTATAGCGGCACAGTTTGTAATAGCTAAAACTGGGAAAAAGCCCATTTGCCCATCAGTTAGAAACTGGATAAACATGTGGTTTTTCTATAAAATGGAGTACTACTCAGCCATAAAGAGTGAGAAATTAGAGTCATTCATAGGAAAATGGATACATGTTGAGGATATACTCCTAAGTGAAATAAATAAGTCACACATGTGTAAATATTGAATAGTTTCTCTGGTATGAAAAATTATAATAGTACATCAGAGCCTAATGATATAATTGACAATGTGAAATAGGAAGAAAAGGGCTAAAGGTGTAGGGGAAGTGGGAAGGGTAGGGGAAAGTTAATGAGGGAAAAGGAAAAAAAAACATGAGAAAATGAAAAAAGGGAAATAAAGTATTTGTAAATAGGGAGGGGAGGAGGGGGTGAAGTGAGGGCAGGGACAAGGGGAAAAAATGAGAACCAAGACCTGTCATGTAAAGGTACAAGATCCTAATGATGAATGTAAATGTACTGTATACCTAGAATGTACCAATAAACTCAATGAGAAAAAAAAAAAAGAGGGTTTCTGCAGCTGGGGAAAAAAAAATATGAGAAAATGAAAATAAAGTGTTTGTAAATGGGGAGGGGAGGGGGTGAAGGGAGGGCAGGGACAAGGGGAAAAAATGAGAACCAAGAACTGTCATGTAAAGGTACAAGATCCCAAAGATGAATGTTACTGTACTGTATACCTAGAATGTACCAATAAACTCAATGAGAAAAAAAAAAAAAGGAAAAAATGGAAACAAAGCTTTTGTACAAGTCTGGGAGGGGTAGCATACCTGTAATCCCAGCACTCGGGAGGCTGAGGCAGGAGGATCGATTTGAGTTCAAGACCAGCCTGGGCTACACAGTGAGTTTCAGGTCAGTCTCAACTACATAGTGAGACCCTCTCTCAAAAAAAAAAAAAAAAAAAAAAAACAAAACAGAAATCCAAAGTAAGAATGACATGTATAGAGCTGGGGATTTAGCTCAGTGGTTCTGCCACCTGTCTTGCAAGCACAAGGACCTGAGTTTGATCCCCGGTACCAAAAAAAAGGAAAAAGGAAAAGGACATGTATAAATCCCTAATTCCTATTCATGTGCGACAACTTCCTTCCTTTCCTTTCCCTCTCTGTTTTGGGGATTGAACCCAGGGCCTTCATACTGAGCTATACACCTAGCCCTTTTTTATTTTTGTTTTTGAGAAAGGATCTCAATAAGTCACTAAATTGCCTGGCTGGGCTTGAACTCAGGATCCTCCTGCCTCAGCGAAACCAGAATCCTAAAGTGACGTGTGTACACCATGCCCAGCTTATATGCTACAATGTTCTAAAAAAAAAAAATGTAAGTTACATGTGTTAATAAAAAAATATATAGCACACACGCCTGTAATCCCAGCACTCCGGAGGCTGAGGCAGGAGGATTGCTGTGAGTTTGAGACCAACTTGGGCTACATAGTGAGTTCCAGGTCAGTCTCAACTACATAGACCCTGTCTCAAAAAAAAAAAACAAAAAAAAAAAAACCCCAAAATATATAGCATATCAACTATAGTACCATGCTCTTTGTTCAGTTAGCCCTAAGAATAAAAACAAGAATTTTTTTTCTTTTTTGGAAACAGTCTTGCTCTGTATTCAGAGTGCTCTGGAACTCACTAATTAGCCCAGGCTGGCCTTGAACTTGAGGCAGTCCTCTAGCCTGTACCTGCTGAGTGCTGGGAGTACAGGTGTGCACCACCACGCCTCGCTCTTCGTAATTAAATCAGCAAAGAAAGTATGGAAATACAGTTAACTTTTCCTTACGTGCTGCCTGAATCCGTCCTTGCTGTCTGGTTTTAATTTCTCGTTTTAACCTGTTCACGTCCTTTATTAGCTTCTCTACTGCTCGTTCACTTCCTTCCACTTTGTCACATACATCCTACAAAATAAGATGGTTTAATGGCACAGATAAAACCTCAGCTCGAGATTCCCAGATGATACAAACTTGTGACAAGTATTATGAAATTCTACTTGCCTTTCATTTTAGTGTACTCTTTTAAATGCTTTTCAGCTATTTTAACTTATTTATACGTGGCTTACCATTCCAGTTAACTCCATGATAAGAAATAAAACTTTAAAGCCGGGTGGTGGTGCACACCTGTAATCCCAGCACTCAGGAGGCTGAGGCAGGAGGATCACTGTGACTTCGAGACCAACCTGGGCTACAGGTTCCAGGTCAGTCTCAACTACATAGGGAGACCCTGTCTCAAATAACCAAAACAAATAAAAAAATAAAAACTTTACTTTTTTGTTTTTGTTTTTGTTTTTTTTGGTACTGGGGATCGAACTGAGGACCTTGGGCTTGCCAGGCAGGTGCAGCATCACTGAGTTAAGTCCCTGGCCATACTTAACTCATTTTAAACAAAAAAGACCAAGATGCAAAGTTATGGCACATATTTAACATTAAGAAACTTAGCAATAAGAGGCTGGAGGCTTAGCTGAGTGGCGCTTGCACCTGCCTCACAAGCACAAGGTCCTCAGTTTGATCCCTGGCACCAAAAAAAAAGCTTCAGGAAAAGCCATTCTTAAAAAAAAAAAGAAAAGAAACTTGGCAATAGAGACTAAAGACATGGGACCAACATAAATGTGCATCAGTAGATGGATAAAGGAATGTGGTATATGAACTCCATGAGATACTCAGCCTTAAAAACAGAATGGCCAAGTAAAAGCAGATTGTGAGGCTTGCACAACTCAGTAAACTTACTATTGCTGAAATACAGTGGGGGAAGCCCAGGCGTGGTGGTGCACACCTATAATCCCAGCCCTTGGGAAGCTGAGGGAGGGGAATGCAGTGAATTCAAGGCCAGCCCAAACAAAATCCTCTCCTTTGGGAGGAGTGGATGAGACCAGAAGGCATTATGTTAAGTGAAATCAGGTGGGCCACCTACTGTCACCTACTGCGGGGCTCCCTCAGATGTGGGACCTTGTATGCAGCTGGTGTCACAGAAACAACTGTGTGTGAGTGGCTGGGGCAGTGGGGGGGCACTGTCAAGTCATCACAGGCAGAAGAGGTAGCTCAAGAGGTGTACAGTATGGTGCCTACAGTTGGATTTGTGGGGGAGGCAGTACTGGGATTGAAACCAGGGTCTTCACAGTAATCTACATCTGTAGCCCGTTGTAAAATTTTTGAGACAGGGTCTTTTAAATCTCTTAAGTGGCCTAGCTGGGCTTTAAACCTGGGGCCCTCCTGCTTCAGCCTCCCAAAATGCTGGGATAGCAGGTGTGCATGGTTGGACACAGCTGATACACTCTATCTTGAAAATGCAAAGAAAGTGAATGTCAGGTGTTCTTACCACAAATGTTAAGTATGTGAAGTAATATATTTGTTTTTTGTTTGTTATTTGATACCGGGGATCAAATTCAGGACCCCGCGCTTGCAAGGCAGGTGATGGCACCACCGAGCTAAGTCCCCGGCCCAATAATGTATTTGTTAATCAACTAGACTTAACCAGTCCCCCTTACTTTAAAACACTGTACTTTACAAAATGAATTACAATTTTATCTATTAAAGTTTCAAAATATACACTGAACTAAAAATAACTATATATGGGGTCGGGGATTTAGCTCAGTAGCACTGCGCCTGCCTCACAAGTACAAGGTCCTGAGTTCAATCCCCAGTACCAAATATAAAAAATAAAAAAATAAACTCATGACAGATTTATACTGGCCAGCGAAGCCCAAGTTCACACCACATGGCAGGTCTAAGTTCAAAGAGCTGTGTGGACTCCCACCAGCTTTCTTGCCTTTTCCTTTTGCCACAAGAACATGTCCCAGAGCAAGGCATGGTGGTGCAGGCCTATAATCCCAGCACTCAGGAGGCAGAGGCAGGACGGTCACTTCAAGTCCAAGGCCAGCCTGAACTACATAGCAAGACCCTGTCTCAAAAAACTTTTTAAAAAAGAACATGTCCCTGATAAGGACTGCTCTTCAGCCTGAATTCTGAAGGTGACATCAGAAAAGGGAATGGCTACAGCAAGATCTGTGGGCAGATTAAACTTTTGTTGTGTGCCACCGAGAGCAGATAAAGGGGTACAATATAAATCTGATGAACAGCAGGTTATCCCTAAAACAACTTTACCATGATCAATTTGATAGACTCTACAAGCGGTCTTCAGATACTTGGTGTAAACTTACCTTTAATTCTTCTTGTAGAGAAGCGTACATTTCATTTATCTTATGTACCTCCTTTAAGGATCCATCTTCTTTAAAAAATTCAGAGCTGTAAAATACAGTTTCCTCAGCTAAATGTCCAGAACTTAGATGGGTGCTAGAAGAATGTAATGGAGCCAGGCATGGTGGTGCATGCTTATAATTTCAGCACTCAGGAGGCTGAGGCAGGAGGACTGCCATGAGTTCAAGGCCAGCCTGAACTGTATAGTGAGTTCTATCTCAAAAATCCAAAAAAACAAAAAATCCAAAAAAAACAATGTAATGGAGGTAGAAAAAAACAGCAGTTTGCTTTAGTAATATATTAATCTAATCATTTTCCTTTCATTTTTTTCTTCTGTTTGTGTAATAACAGAATTAATTTCAAAAAATAGTAAATGTAATGGAAAAAGCAGCCAAGGAGTCTTACCTGTGTGTTTTTACTGCTCTGCTAAAGGCTGTGGAAATACAGGAGCTTGATGTAGTTTTATAACCCAGTGGCTCAGATATGCCCAGGTTGGTCACTACTAAAGGGATCCTATGAAAAAGTCTGATAAAGTCAAATGTGTAAGCATAACTTTTTAAATAAAGAGAATTATCAGAATAGATCCCCCAAGATTTAAAAAAAACAATATCCCTTATTACTTACAAGGTAAAATTTACTGAGATGAAGCAACTTGCTTTTATAAAAATCGTGAAATGTACATGTTAGAAAGTTGTGTGAAAAAAAAATACTTTCATTAACTGATCGAGTATATGTAAAATTAAGACAGTACAGCTACTTGGGAGGTGGAGGCAGGACAACTGCATATTTGAGGTTAGCATGGGCACACAGACTCCCGTTTGACAGCCGAGTAGCCTAGCATGCAGGCAGCCCTGGGTTTGATCCCCAACTTCACTCCCCACAAAAATAAAAAACAGCAAAACAGCTGAGTATCCCTAGTCCAAAAATTTGAAACCCAAAATCTGAAGCACCATCATGAGTACTAATCTTCATTGGACCAGTTGAATTCTTGCACACGTGTAATCCCAGGGCTGGGGATTTAGCTCAGTGGTACTGCCACTTGCCTCACAAGCGCAAGGTCCTGAGCTTGATCCCTGGTACCAAAAAAAACTTGGGGGGCTGAGGCAGGATGACCACAAGTATGTGGCCAGCCTGGGCAATTTAGCAACTCTGTGAGACCCTATCTCAAAAAATAAAGTGCTGGGCCAGGGATTTAGCTCAGTGGCACCGAATCTGCCTTGGGTTCAATCTTCAGTACTGAAAACAGGCAGTAAATACACGCGTATCACAAGACCTGGATACAAGTCCACTCCATACTGGGCCTCAAGTTTCCTTGTTTGGCTTCATGATTCACTTATAATTAACTGATGGGAAGACCTACCTCAGACAGTGACTGGGACAATCTAATGCAACACTGTATAAAAACCCCTGATAAGCTGCAAAAAGTACTGTGAAATTACTGGATATGCTAGTGGCTGGGAACACTTACCCTTTCTCAGGCCTGTATAAGGCATGTTCCAGCCGATGAGTGGAACAGCTTTCCGTCACTATGCTTGGTGTTAACAAGAGAAACACAAGTTCCTGGCTTGAAAGGTGCTTCTGTAAATTTCTGTGAAGCAGCCTCTCTCTAAACGTCAAGATCTGATCTGTGTGACGACGGAACTTGTACCAACCTACCACATTCTGAAAGAAGACAGAAAACAGAGTATCTCAGTGCTCACAGTTTTATAGCTCATAATTAGCTTAATTAGCTGGCTTTCTTAATAGCGAGATTTGGGACATCTATAAGCAATGACTACACTTAGTAATAAGCTTTATGAAGTATGCAAACTGACTTACAGTAAGGCTGCCTTCCATTCAGTTGGAAGGCTACGTTTTTTTCCATTAAGTTTATTGGTACATTTAAGGTAAACAATAGTTACATTCATCACTGAGATCTTGTATCTTGACATGATGTATCTTGGTTCTTGTTTTTCCCCATTCCCCTGCCCTCCCTTCACCCACTTCACCCTCCCCTATTTACCAAGGCTTTTGTTTTAATTTTTCCTTTTTTCGTATTTTTCCCTTATTTCCTTTCCCCTCCCCTTCCTACTTCCCCTTCTTTAGCCCTTTTCTTCCTATTTCACATTGTCAATTATACCATTTGAACCTTATTTACACTTTTAGTTTTTCACACCAGAGAAACTATTTGGTATTTACTTAGGTGTGTCCTATTTATTTCACTTAAGAGTATAACCTTGGGCCGGGGATTTAGCTCAGTGGTTCCAGCGCCCACCTCACGGGCCTGAGTTCGATCCCCGGTACCAAAAAAAAAAGTATAGCCTCAATATATATCCATTTAGCCAGAAGGCTACAGTTTTGACCCATACAGATTACAGCGAGAAAAATAACTTCCTCTAGTTTCCTACGGCATTTGATCCTTGCCATCTTCATGTTTAGTGAAAATTTACATGAAAAAAATGCCAGGGCACAGCCAGGGGTTTAGCTAAATGGCACTGCACCTGTCTTACAAGTGCAAGATCCTGAGTTTGATCCCTGGTACCCAATAAATAAATAAATAAATAAATAAATAAATAAATAAATAAATAAATAAATAAACACACACACACACACACACACACACACACACACACACACACACACACACATACATACACCAGTACAATTATTCCCTGGAAACAAGTTAATTTCCTGTATGTATTTTTGGTTTATTAATGAGTTAAGCTGATCCCTGTAGCTTTTACCTGAAATTTAATGGGAATGATCATCACCCACCCAGAAAGTTGGCTTCAGTGTTGAATAAAATCAATGTGTTAGTATTACTAAGTCCTTTTTAAGTGGGAAAATCTCACTTAATAAAAACAATTACAAAGAAAAAATAACGACTTATTCAGAAGAGTCTGAATTCATAGGTTTCAGCAATTAAATTTTTTATTGCACATGAGCTATGGAAATTTAAGCTGAAGAAATTAAAAATTGCTTCTGTTCTTTTAAAACTTAAGGCATCTTTACAGGTACTTTTTTAAGTAGCCAAATATGATTGGAAAAACTCCAACCATTTTCAATAAAAGTTTGAAAAACTTAAAAATTATTTTACTAAATTTTTTTTCAGATCAGATAGTAGTACTCTGAAGAAACTTCTCGTTTTAGATTAAAAAAATCCATCTTGATTACTTTTAACTGAGCATCAGCTATGCTGTGGAGAACTGTAATTCAGTATTATATAGGAAACTTTGCCTGAAAAGACTTTTTTTTTTGGTACCGGGGATTGAACTCAGGTCCTTGCACTTGCGAGGCAGTTGCCAGAACCACTGAGCTAAATCCCCGGCCCTCCCTGAAAAGAACTGTATAAAAACCCGAACTGCAAGGCCAGGCTGGGGTGTGCACCCCTTCAGGGATGCTGCCTGGGGTCACCTGGGTGACACTGGAGATCTTGGAGTCGCCGTCTCAAGAAAAATGGACTGAGTCCTAGATAAATCCTGCTGGCAAAGGGTGTGAGAATTCAGAAAAGAACAAGGTCGGTGTCATCAGAGGAGTCAAGGAAGATCACTATTTCTGATGACCGGTTTGGTTTTCAGAGCACTCACTGAATTGCTGAGAACAAGCCTTCTCTTTCCTGCTTTATGGTAGGTACAGTGTGAAGACAAATGCTGCTTATAAGTTCTGTTTCAGTACTGTGTTAGGAGTTGAAAATAAAGGATATAAAACTAACAAAAAGACAGGTGATACCTTTTCAACGTTTGGAAGTATTTTCTTCAGTGCGTAATTATTGACTTCACCTGAAGAGTTATAAAAGCTGTAAAAGTCAAAGACATTTCAAATAAGCTAGAAATCTGAATAGTTTTATTTTCCATTTTTGTTACTCCTGATCCACTATCTAACCCAAGTCCATACCTACCTGCCTGTCAGATAAAAGTCCTAAAGAGTAGGAAAGTTCACAAATTAACAGACTTAAAATGGTAGAAAGAAGAGGTCTCTAGGGAAAAGGACAATTGGAGATCCCTCAAGAGCCAAGGTTGTGCATTGTATATTTTTAGACTAAAACAAAACATTAAACTATCTACTAAATACAAGTACTAAAAAATAATCTCATAAGCCAATTCACAATTCACAATGGTTTACTACCATTCTGTACAATATTGAAACATGAATGAGTGTGAAATAACCAAAGCCCACTAACAAAAGGACAATTATTCACTGTTAATCCCCAAAGTCACTGGGGGTCATGGGCAGGCAGGAGAAGGGAATGATTTGGTTTAGTTCAGTGGTCTTTTTTCCATAGTCAAAATGTCTTACATACAGAGATTCAGAAGAAAAGATTCTACAGCAACGCATGCACTTTTAGCTTTCCCTCCTACGGCAGAGATTCCAAAAATATTTTTTACTTTTATAATTGAGATAAAAAATACTTATTTGTTATGGTGAAATGTTAAGTCAAAACCCTTTATAAATAATGTTGATCATAACAGGTTTTATTGGTGTTTCAAGTGTATACTGAAAACATTTAGTTAATAAAACTGAGTAGAATCCTATTATGCAGTGTTTTTACTTTTTAAAATTTACAAGAATTTATATTCAAACTTTTTTTGGGGGGGTACCAAGGATCGAACTTGGAACCTTGTGCTTGCAAGGCAGACACTGGAACCATTAAGCTAAATCCTGGCCACATTAAAACTTTTTTTTTGTACCAGGGATCGAACTCGGGTCCTTGTGCTTGCAAGGCATACACTGGAACCACTGAGCTAAATCCCTGGCCCCAAACATTTTTAATGGGAAACAGTCAAAACAAAGTGATTCACTGTAAAGACTCCAAATTGATCAAACAGATCCATTACATCTGCTCATGGTCTCAACTTGAAGACTACACACGCAGAGCTTACTGCTGTGTCTCCCTAGTACACAACGGGGCACCAATGTACACCAGGGTGCAGGAACCTCAGGGGACTGCACACCTTCAGAGCACTGATTTTATGTGAAGCTTCAGAGACACGGAGGGGGTGGGACTGTCATACAGAAATAGATACACTGTGCTGAGTTCATGTAAGTTCATACACTTTTGGGTTTTGTGAGACACGGTCTTACTCTGTAGTTGAGGCTGGTCTTGAACTCACTATGGAGCACAGGGTGGCCTTGAACTCACAGGCATCCTGCTGCCTCAGCCTCCCAAGTGCTGGGATTATAGGCATGCACCACTACTCCCAGCAAGTCACCTTTTTTTTTTTGTTTTTTGTTTTTGGTACCAGGGATCAAACTCAGGCCCAGTGCTTGTGAGGCAGGAGCTGGAGCCACTGAACTAAATCTCTGGTCCCCAGCAAGTCACTTTTTAAGTGACTTAGTTCTAAGCTTTAGTGGGCTGTCTCCCAGGTATCACCCTGGATTCCTGCAGTATACAAATTGGGCTATTCCAGTGGGAAGGTATCCGGTGGTATAATTGCTGCAGGGTTGGCAAACTTTTCCTGTAACAGCCAGATTACATATTTTGAGCTTTGCAAGCCATGTGTGGTTTCTATTGCGCACACTTCCTCTGATTTCTATTACCTACCCTGAAAAAATACATTTTTAGGTTCAGGGCCAGGTGAAAAGAGTTCACTGTTTAAAACAGGGTTTGCTAACTATATTAAAGCATAAAACTGTGAAAGTTTATGCTAAAAACAAAGGCTTGTTGGGCCAGGGATGTAGCTCCATGGTATCATGCCTGTCTGACAAGCACAAGGGCCTGAGTTCGATCCCCAGTACCAAGAAAAACAAAACAAAGGCCTGGTGAGACTTTAGGAACACTAAGCCCTTCTGCCGTTCCCCTAGTGCCCATCTTCTGTCTTAACCATGTATCTGCCTGGATCTTTCAGGTGTGTGCATCGGCAGTGTGACTGGAGTGATGTTTTGTGTGGTTTATATAAGTCACAAGGCTTTCTATGTGTATGTTGTGCCTCAGTTTAAAAAAGTGCAGCCCATCAGAGCTGACAGTTCTGCCACTGTGGAGGACCAAGAGCAAAAGCCTGCACCCTAGAAAAACAACAGGAAACAGGTCAAAGAATACAGCTGGTTAACAGAGGATAATACTAAAAAATGTAAGTGAGGCAACAGCTGCTGAAATAAGGAATCAAAGGGTAGGAAGAGGGGCTGCTGATGACATCTGAGAATGTCACTGAGCTCCCATGATGCACTGGGTGACAGCGAAGAGGAGCAGTCTTCGATGTCAGTGGCACCAACTAAAGTCCTGTCACTGCAGGCGCCACTGATGCAGTGACTGTCTGGGACTTAAAAACTTCTTTCCATGTGCAACTGGTTACTAAGATGCTCTGGCAGTTTCAAAAATCCTTTCACTTACAGAGATCATATTGGCTAACTGACTTGCTTTCACTCGTACTACTACTCACCTAAAAAGCCGGTAGCATGGAATATATTTCTGAATGTCTGGAAAAGGAGAATTTTTAGTTATGATATTGTGTAATCATCTGAATAACCTCCTGAGCATATTTTCATACCACGAAGTACTTCACCATGGATTATCTCATTTACTCTGCACAACAATCCCACAAGACAAATGTCTTCCCCATACCAGCAGGAGGAACCCTTCTTCAGTCTCATTCAACTGGGCGTGGTGGCGCACACCTGTAATCCCAGCACTTGGGAGGCTGAGGCAGGAGGATCTCCATGAGTTCAAGGCCAGCCTAAACTATATAGTAAGACCCTGTCTCAAAAAACAAAACATACTGACACTTAGACAAAACTGTGTTATATGATCAGAAAAATACATTTTCAACCTCCCTTTTTTTCCACAAGAACAGCTGCCACCAGCTATTTTCTCTGCCATCTCCTTGCTGCAGTCTTATTTATTTCCTATATCTTGTATACTGTTTCATACAACTGGTATCCATAATTTTAACTAAAAGCCAGTCTAATATATTCTTTTAAATTTTGCTTTTTTTTTTTTTTTTTTTTTTTTTT